AGTTTCTTTGCAATTCTATGTAGTTTAGATTGCATGTAGAATCATTCAAGCTCGACATGATCAATCTTGCTTGTGGAGTGATTCGAATCTCAAACAAGTGTTTGAGATATTTGATCAACAAGAATCATTCAAGCTAGACATGATCGATCTTGCTTGTGGAGTGATTCGAATCTCAATCAAGTGTTCTTGCCTTGAGATATTCTGATAAGATAAGGAATCAATACAAGGGGAATAAGATTCGGATTACCTTGTCGATCGAATATCTCAAGCCAAGAACACTTTGTTTGAGATTCGAATCACTCCAGAAGCAAGATCGATCATGTCTAGCTTCAATGATTCTAGTTGATCAAATACCTCAAACACTTGTTTGAGATTCGAATCACTCCACAAGCAAGATTGATCATGTCGAGCTTGAATGATTCTACATGCAATCTAAACTACATAGAATTGCAAAGAAACTCAGCCATTGGCTAAGAAAAAGCACAAATGCTTCTTTTGATATATCTTCTAAGTCTTATTACAAATACAACATAGATGGCTTTATATAGCCTCAAAATGAAAATTACAAAAGTTGTAACATTCACACTTTATGGCCATAATTAGCCATTATGTAAATGTAACCGAAATTAAATAAAAAGTCTTAAAATACAATAACTCTAAATTATAACCCACCCAAAATTTACAACAATCAAACTTTATTCTTCTTCAATGTAGCATGAATTGAAACATCTTTTGATAATTTTGACAACCTTTTCTTCACATCTTCATTGAAGTATATTGTAGGATTGATGTCTTTTGGTTCATATCATAAAGCGAATAATATCTTATTATATTTATATTTTTAAATACAAAATTTATATTATAAACAGGCGTGAGATTTCTATTGATATGTAAATGAAGGAATAGTTGATTTGAATAAAAAAAAAAAAAGCATAGTTGATGTGAATATAAGGTAAATACTAAATAGTAAGCATTTTGATTTCTTTATTAATTTAAATAATTTTTTATTAAAGGTGTTTTTTTTCCTAATATTATTTATATTTTAGTATAGCATTTGCTGACCCTCTTCAAATGGGCTTAAATTCAAGGCCCAAAAGTGGGCCCAAGTTTTCATAGGCGGCCTTGCTTGTTTTAATTATTTATAATATTTAGCATTTAATTTTTTAAAAAAATTTAATTATTTATAATATTTATTTTCTTGTTTTTAAAATCTGAATTATATTTTAAAATTAAATAAAATAGTTTTTTAAACTAAGAATTTATTGATTTATTTATTTATTTTTATAATAATAAGGAAAATAGAAAGAGAGAGATTGGTGGGGAAGTAATAAGGTCCAGTTAGACAGGGTGAATTGTAAGGCATGGCATCTAAACCCTTTGACTTGAAGTGCATCCTATTTGCCCAATTTCTACTCATATAATTTAATTATTTTTTTTTTTATACAATCTTTTTCTTTTCTTCCCTATTTTATACCCTAATTTTTCATTCTTCTCCTTGTATTCCTATCTCCATATACTACCATGACTCATAATAACCTCCTCATTAACATTGCCCTCTCTTCTCTCGTTCCTCTTTTTCTCGCTTTGCTCCTCGTCGTCATTCCTACCCCTCCTTTCTTCTCCGTTCCCGATGACTCCCTTAGCTGCCACCACCACCACCATAAACCCTCGGCTGATGAAGAAGACCGAGCGAGTATCGGTTCCATTTGTGACACCTTCCCGACTGCCCTTCTCCCACCAGAAACTGTCAACACTTCTGTCTTATGCGTTGACCAAAATGGATGCTGCAACTTCACTACTGTACAGGCAGCTGTGGATGCTGTGTTGAATATGAGCTCCAAAAGAAGCTTAATATGGATCAACACTGGAATCTATTTGTAAACTCTTTATATATATACCACCTATTTTAAATTACAAAAATACCCTTTGACTTTGTTTTTGTTTTTGTTTTTGTTTTATAACTACCTTTATTCATAGACGATAAGACGGATTGACCATCGGTACATCGAACGTGATGTTTTGTTGTTTTTTTAGTGAGAAGGTGATGGTTCCGAGATCGAAACCGAACGTGACATTTCAAGGACAAGGCTACACAACCACGGCTATTGTTTGGAACGACACTGCTAATTCTTCGCATGGCACCTTTTACAGCGGCTCCGTCCAAGTCTTCTCTTCCAATTTTATTGCCAAGAATATAAGCTTCATGGTAATTTCTAATTAATTTTATATTATAATTTAATAGATTCTTCATTTATGACATTTTTTATTAAAAAAAATTGGAAAGTAATAATTTTTTTTTAATCTTGATCCATCCCTAAATTAGCTGATGTGGGACTTTTATCATCCAACTCCTCCCTAAGAACAAAGTACGTCTCCCGTTAATCGAGACTCGACTCCTTTGAAATCTTAGTCATTTTTTACTGCCTTAGAAGAGGCTTGACTCCTTTTTTTGGAGCCCTTTGTTCGATATTTGAGGATTTACCAATTTATTGGCACGACTAAGTTTGGGGCATGACTCTGATACTATGTTAGACGAACACGACTCTCAACAATGGTATGATATTGTTTACTTTGAGCATAAACTTGGGGTTCCCAAAAGGCCTCACATCAATCGAGAGTGTATTCTTTGATTATAAATCCTTCTAGCGCCAACAAATTTTCATTTTAATAAAGAAATTCCCAAACCATAGAAAGCAAAATAAATAAACCCCAAATTCAGTACGAAAGATACTCCCCGCGAAATTATAATTTAACATTTTGGTGCCTTGGCAGAATGTGGCGCCAATTCCAGGGCCGGGCGTCATCGGAGCACAGGCGGTGGCGATTCGGATCGGCGGAGACCAGGCGGCGTTTTGGAACTGCGGATTCTTCGGCGCTCAAGACACGCTCCACGATGACCGCGGCCGCCATTACTTCAAGGATTGCTACATCCAAGGCTCCATCGATTTCATCTTCGGAAATGGAAGATCTTACTACGAGGTAAATCGGAGCCCTAGTTTTTTCGCCGATTTCGATTTGACGATAAATTTCTGAATCGCGATTATGAAAACCTTGCCGCATTGTAGAGTTGCCAGATGATTTCGATGGCGAATCCAGTTCCGCAAGGATCAAAGTTCGTGAACGGAGCCGTGACAGCGCACGGCAGAGCCTCCGCAGACGAGAACTCTGGATTTGCTTTTGTTAATTGCAGCATCGGTGGAACCGGCCGAGTGTGGCTCGGTCGCGCGTGGCGGCCGTTCTCTCGCGTCGTCTTTGCTAACACCGTCATGACGGATATTATTGCGTCGGAGGGATGGAATGACTTTAATGACCCCGCAAGGGACCAGTACGTTTTCTTTTTTCTAATTACTAAATTACCAACGTCTTATCCACTAAATTTAAAACTATAATTATTATTTAAGGAATTTTAATAATGGAAAAAAATTGAAATTTGCAGGACGATATTCTACGGGGAGTACAACTGCAGTGGAGCAGGAGCCAACATGAGCGCAAGGGCTCCCTATGTTCAGAGGCTCAATGATACTCAAGTTTCCCCTTTCCTCAACCTCTCCTTCATTGACGCAGACCAATGGCTGCAACCCTATTAATTCTCTCTTTTTCTTTCATACATTCTCATTATTTTTTATTTATTAATAATAATCATTAATTATATTATAAATATATTATCCATCATCATTTCCTAAATTAATTGAGGTGGACCTCCCCTCGAACAAAGTACGAGACATGACTCTAATACCATGTTAAATGAACACGACTCTCCCCAATAGTATACCATTGTCTATTTAAGTATAAGTTCTCATGACTTTGCTTTGAGTTTCCTAAAATTCCCCGTACCAATGGAAAGAGTATTCTTTGATTATAAACGCATGATCATTCCCTTAATTCCCTTGAACAAAGTACGAGACATGGCTCTGATACCATGTTTTTAAGTATGAGCTCTCATAGATTTGTTTTGGCTTCCTAAAAGACCTCATACCAACGGAAAGAGTATTCTTCATTTCTTAAATGATTACAAACGCATGGTCATTTTCTAAATTAGCGATGTGGGACTTTCATCATCCAACATCTCCTCTCAAACAAAGTAGGAGACATGGCTCTGATACCATGTTAAATGAACACCACTCTCCATAATGGTATGTCATTGTCTACTTTAATTATAAGCTATCATGGTTTTGTTTTGGGTTTCCTAGAAAACCTCGTACCAATAGAGAGAATATTCTTTGATTAGAAATTCATGATCATTCCTTAAATTAGTCAATGTGGGACTTTCATCATCCAACAATCTCGACTGTTAATGGTTTGCTTAATAAGGTTGTTCGAGATTGAAATTTTAATATTAAATTAAATATTTTTATTTTTAAATATAAACCATTAACGAAAAAGAAAAGAAGCAAAATATATAGATCAAATTAGTAATTTCAATAATATTCGATTTTAGACTTTAATTTATTTTATTTTATAAAAAGAAAAAAGGAAAAAAAATTGCGAGGTTTAGTTACTTCTCCTTTTCCGCAAGGCACAAGGCAATAGATAACTCACTCGAACTGTAACGCCAAAATCGTCTCCTGAGCAGGTATGAAGCTCTCTGAATCTTCTCCATTGTCTTCCCCTTTTGTTACTCAATCCTGATTCATCATCGTCCAGTTATCTACTTGTATTCTACGATTAGGGTTTGGATTTAAGCGTTCATCGATTTTTGAGTTATTGTTTTCTTCTTTCGTTGTTGTTTGTCGCTTTTCTTCGATCTCTCAATCGAAATATCTCTCCGTGAATGTTGCATTGTTTTCATTGTTTGATTTTGTGGAACTGTGGAGCTTGCGACTTACTTCTAATGGTTTTATGTATTGATCGCTTTTTGGTTCCGAACTTCGAGTTCCTTCTGAGATGATCAAGTTTTTTTTTTTAATTTTATTATACTGTTCATGTAGTATTAGTTATATTAATTGAAACAGATGATGAGAAGTTATTTGATCATTCGTTGGTTCTCTGCTTTTAGTTGCATGTTGTTTTCCTTGCCTGTTCGTGGCTTAGAGGCGAAGCATTGTTCTGGATATTAGGTGTTTGATGCCTGATTTTAACTGAGAAAAGTATTAGCTTAAGTGACGTTTACATTTTTTTTTCTCTGGTTTTTGTGTTGGAGATTTAGGAAAAAGAACGGCTCAAGCGAAACCAGCTGCCTCTACAATGAAAACTAACAGACCCCTAATTGCAGCTGAGCCAGCTATGAATTTGGGAGATGTTTGTGACGAAATTTGCAGTTTAATCAGGGAAGGGCTTAGGGTAGTTGCTGCTAGACAGACTAATGAAGAACATAATAGCAAGTTCAATCAGTTTTTTGTCTGTCAACCTCCTTGGTTTGGAGAGGATACCGACCCCTTAGTTGCTAAACGCTGGGTTTTGGGGTTAGAGAACATCTTTGATTGCATAGGCTGTTCAGACGAGCAAAAGGTTTCCTTTGCTTGTTTAAGACTGAAAGATTCAGCACTTTCTTGGTGGATAGTGTCAAAAAGATACTTGAATGCTGATGGGGCTGCAGTGACATGGGAGAAGTTTAAGGACTTATTCTATAAGAGATATTTCCCTAGTTGGTTGAAGCATGAGAAGCATCGTGAACTCTGGAAGTTGGGACAAGGAAACAGAACCGTGATTGAGTATGATGAAGAATTCATTACCTTGTCTTCTCTTGTTTCTGAACTAAATCCAGACGATTCTTTGGAAGCTAGGCTGTTCTATGAAGGGTTAAGGCCAGATATTAGTCGACAACTTTGCTTCACGGATAACGTGTCGTACTCCGATCTTAGAAACTCGGCGTTACTGGTCGAACAGTGCCTTAACCGGAAAGATGTTTGAAGTAGAAAGAAAAGGGTAGCTGCAAACCAGATGGGAGGTTTCAGTTATGGATCATCCTCACCTTTCAATGCCTGCTTATGAGTAGTTATAGTTCTCTTAAAAGTTTCATAGTTTAGGAAGTTTATAATGGTAATGCTTTGTTCTTCCTCCCAAAAACAGAATTCCACTCTCCCTCTCTGGTTTAGGCTTTTGGCAATGGTAGTCCTTATACTTCTGTTGCTTTTGTTAGGTGGAGTTCATTGGCTTAATGTGTCTCTACAGCTACTTTATGTTCTTTGTTCCATTTCCTCACACTAATGTGGTCCATTGGTAGTTTGTTCTTTGTTTCATTTCATTTCAATATAGTTATTCAAGCAGCATACAAATTATGAATGTAAATATGAATTTTAGAACACAAATCAGCATCCTGTTCGAACGTGCTTAGCACTCGATCCAAAGCCAATCGCAGTCTACCGAGCCATGAACAAGCTAATTTATTCCGAACACAAGAACAAGCTAATCTGGAATGTTACATTTCAATCAAAAGGAACACAAAAATACACAACCAAAACGAGGGAAGGGAGGGAGTGACTGAGCAAAGAAGCCGCGGATTAGGTCCTCTTCCTCTTCAAGAACCTCATATTGCTCATCTGAACCTACATATTTAGAGCTTACTTAAAACCAAATATTAGATCCATTCTTTGGGGTTGATGCATGCATCCAGTAATTTCCATTCTTCACTTCCCTCTTCTGGTTTCTGCATATCCAAACAACCAAATTTAGAACACAGTTTTTTCCTCAAGTAATTCATGTCATCCAAGAAGATCTTACATGGTCATATTCCCATCTAGCTGTTAGAGGAAGAGAAACCAAAATACTTTCAATCCGACCTCCTGTTTTCAGTCCAAATGTAGTACCTCGATCGTAAACCTGCCGTTCAAGCAAACAATTTTTAAACTTGGCAGGCAAAATTTAAGTTATAACATGTTCTTCCAACACTTCATTGCCAGAATGCATACCAAGTTGAATTCGACATAGCGGCCCCTGCGCAGTTGTTGCCATGCTTTGTTCTGTTCAGTAAATGGGGTATCCTTTCTTCTCTCTATGATGGGTATGTAGGCAGAAACCACAGAATTGGCACACTCTGTAATACAGACAGCAACAGAATTGCATATATTATCACAGAACTCAAGTGGGAGAGGATCAATTCATTTCACATTTTGAAGTGTAATTACCGGTGGCAAATGATAGAAGCATCTCCTGATCGTAGTCGTTTAAATCATCAAAAAATATTCCTCCAAGTCCTCGTCTTTCGCCTCGGTGCTGCAATAAAATTATAACTTCAATCCCATAGCTATAGATAGAATGTCCTGGTTTCTTAAAAGAAGTTGCATCGTTCGCTATAGTAAACATGAACAAAAGTATAAGAATGATGAAATACCTTGATGTAGAAGTAGTCATCACACCATTTTTTGAATCGAGGATAGAAGGATGGATCAAATTTGTCACAAGCACTTTTTTGTACCTAAATAAGCAGCAGTTATTGGACGGGCGAACAAATAAGATTTAACAAGTAACGAAAATACTCGAAATAAAGTCGATGTGGATGAACACAAATGCCCGTAAGAATGTCGAATACCGACATTCGTAAGGACCATTATGATGCACAACTACATAAGAGATATCTCTTAACACTTGAAGGATGAAAGAGAAGTTATTTACCGAATGGAAATGCTTGACATCTTCCTCAAAGATGTAAGAAGGAGTTAAATCAGTCCCACCACCAAACCACCATTGCCTTGGTGCACCAGGAACATCTGCAGATCATGAAAATGAAGAATATATGAAAAGTTACACCCTTTCTCATTGTGAATCGTTCTGGAAGTTTAACACAAATTAGTGCCAATATGGAGGAACACCTTGGAGGATAAAAATTTGAATGTTACTACCACTGCTAGCAGATATTGTTCGTTTTGGCCCGTTACCTATTGCTGTCAGCCTCACAGTTTTAAAACATGTATACTAGGGAGAGGTTTCACACCCTTATAAGAAATATTTCGTTCTTCTCTTCAACCAATGTCGGACCTCACAATCCACCCCCTTAGGGCCAATGTTTTTGTTGGCACACTGCCCAGTGTCTGACTCTGAACCCAAGCCCACCGCTAGACATATTGTCCGCTTTGGTCCGTTACGTATCCCATCAGCCTTACGGTTTTAAAACGTGTCTACTGGGGAGAGGTTTCAACACCCTTATAAGGAATGTTTCGTTCCCCCTCCAACCAACGTGGGATCTCACATTGAACCTGATAGAATATGGCATTTATGACCCACTATCAATCTCTCTTACTCAAAGAGAAAAGGCCTATTTTTCATATCAACTTCAAGCTTGATTGATGAGATAAACTAGAACGAGACTCTCAAGCTGGTGGCAAATAACTAATGGAGGATCTACCACACTCTGATAATTAAGCTTCATCTAATTCTCCACACTCTGACAATACAAGAGTAAGAATGCTTGCCTAAGTGAAAATAACGTATGGAAAGATATATCTGTACCTTTAGGAGCATCAGTCTCGAAATATCTGTAGTTGAAATGCAAAGTTGGTGCAAATGGGTTCTTAGGATGTAAAACCTGCAACATTTTACGCCTTGCTTAAGCAACAATGGTAACAGAACGCAGGGCTTTGAATTGCAACGAAAGCAGATCAATAAATGGAAAGCAAAAGAAACAAAAGAAGAAGAGAAGAAATTACGAACTGAGCTAATGCCAGCGGCAAAGAAAGGAATAGGCCCAGGCTTGTGATCCCCAGCAGCAGCTTTGGCAGCTCTGTAAGCATCAGGAGGCATAACTCCATACACAACCGAGACATTAACGCCAGCCTTCTCCCACACAGCACCATCCTGAAGAACCCTACTGATACCGCCGCCACCACCAGGTCTAGACCAAACATCCTCCTTAAACTTCCCCCCTCCATCCGCTTCCTCAATGGCCTTGCAAACACTATCCTGAGCATCCCTAATCATCTTCTCGAAGCGAGCCCTAATCGACGAGGAGCCGGAAGAGATGCCTCCCGTGGCCTCATCGTATTCCGTAAGGAACGTATCGGGACGGACGGCGATGGGGGTTTCCTTCTCGATTGAAACAGCCATGGTGAAATTCTTCCTGGAGAACAGAGATTTCTTCTTCAAATTAGCAAAATGGGAACCAAATGGCTTGCGCGTAGTAACAGCTAAAAACGCCTTGGAAGAAGAAGAAGAAGAAGAAGAAGAAGGTGAAAAAGCGAAGGGAGTAAAAGGGGCGGAGGATGAACAGGAAGGAGAGAAAATGGCGGTGGACGGCATAGCTTTAAGGATTGAAGAGAAGGACGAAGAATTGAAGATCTATATAGAGGGAAGAACAAAGGAAAACGAAGAAGACGAAGAAGAAAGAATTGCAGTGAAGGAGGATAAGGAACCCCACCAACGAAGATTTCCTTCTCCATCGCCTAATCGTTTACCGTTTTTTTTTTTTTTTTTCTAATTTTACTGAAATTAATAATTCTATTTTATTTTATTAAAAAAAAACATTTTATTTGTCTTTTTATTTTTTATTTTATTTTTTTGGAGAATTAATATCATTTATTCAGAAACCTGATTTCGCCCAATTTTGTAAACTAAGCATAAACATCCAATTTGGCTAATAAAATTAAATTTATTTAATACGTTATGAGGTGGGTGGCCGGAAAGTGGACCCAGTCAGACGGTCAAAACTAACGGACGTTACGGTGTGTTGACGCGACGGTAATCCACGCGCGCTCGCCCACGGTAAATCGTCCCTTGTATTTTAACAACTTCCGTCAGAAACAGTGAACCGGACGAGGTTTATGCAATAAACCGGTGGAAATTAAAGAAAGAAAGAGTTGGGGAATTTAATAATTATTTAATTTTGTGTTTAGTCCATTTTGTTAAATTTTTTATTTTTTTTTGTCGGTATCTTCTATTTTAACTATCATATTTAACTTTTTTTAGGCTCGGGAATCGAAGCTAGTCCTGAGCCTAAGCCTCGTCAGGCTTCAGGCTTGTTCCGAAGCTAGGCAGGGTCGGGAACCCAGATCCAACATCTGACCCACGGCCTAACATCAATGCGCGCGTCTAGCATTCGGCCCACAGTCCTTGACCCCGCCCATTCCTTCAGTGCCAGCCCGCGCTAGTAGTCAAGACCCAGCCCAGTCGCCCCATGACCCGACCCTGCGCCGCCATCTTTGTGAACGGCTCGCCGTCGACTCGCTAGCTCGACTTGCTTCCTTTGTAATGGAAGAACAGAGATTTGAATTTTTTATATTTTAATTAATTAATAATAAAACCTTAATTAGTTCATATATATATATATATATAAAGTTTTAATATAAAAAATCTATTATTATCATATATATAAATAGTTTATTCTTCATCCATTCAGAGCATATATTATTACAGAATTTAGATCAGGAAAAAACCCTTGATCTATGTATTATATGAATCATCAACCTCCGATTTCCAGCTGAAATTCATCGACCATGGCGCTACATTCATCCGAAAGCCTCGCCGGTGGAGAATCAGTAATCAGAGTTCAAAACTTAGTCGAAGCACAGCCGTCTCAGGTCCCGCCCCAATACATCCAGCCGCCGCATCACCGTCCTTCTGCCACTAGCACTTCCACCGATCTCAGAATTCCGGTGATCGACCTTTTCGGATTCGATTCGGACCACAGAGACGCCGTTCGAGCCGCCGTTGGGCGAGCATCCAGCGAATGGGGAGCTTTTCATGTCATCAACCATGGAATTCCTTCATCGTTGTTGACGCAGATGAGGACTGCGGCTCTCTCTTTCTTTAGAGACTGTCCCGTCTCTGATAAGCTCGCATACGCTTGCGATCCTAAATCCTTTGCTTCCGAGGGTTATGGCACACAAATGCTCGTCGATAAAGAAGTCGACTCGCAGGATTCGGCGCTTGATTGGAGAGATTATTTCGATCACCATACGCTACCGCTTTCACGCCGCAATCTTTCTAATTGGCCTTACTTTCCTTCCGGTTACAGGGAGCTTATGGCTCAGTACAGCGATTGTATGAAATTGCTTGCTCAGCGGCTCCTAGCCGTTATCTCTGAAAGTATGGGGCTGCCTTCGTCGTGGATGGAGGACGCCATCACTGGGATGGGTGGGGAAGAAAATTTTTATCAGAATATTACTGTCAGTTATTATCCTCCATGTCCTCAGCCTGGCTTGACGCTTGGTCTGCAAACCCATTCCGACATTGGCGCCATCACTCTACTAATACAAGATGATGTTGAGGGCCTTCAGGTTCTCAGCGGGCAAGGAGATTGGGTCACTGTTCAGCCTCTCTCTCCTGATGCCATTGTCGTCATTTTGGCCGACCAAACTGAGGTTAGATTATGCCTCCGTTTCTATTTTTTGTCCTATCTTTGATGAACCAGCATTTGCAAAATCCATCATGTGCTTTGGTGTTATCCGTTCCTCTGAATTGTCCATGCCCGCTGACTGGCAATTAGCAGGCAAGCTTATGTTCTGTTTCCTTTAGTCCAGCTACTGAATTATAACGAAGTAAGAGACTAAATAAGTATGGAGGAGGAGCTATATGTAAATTATCTAAGTAACTATTGGGGAATGGATATAGAATTTCAAGTAGTTTTTCTTTCTAAATTGTTTTAGAATCAAAATAACTGTGGGACTCATCATGACATATCCACCCTTTCAAGGAAATAGTAGAATGAGAACGATTCAGGACCAATGAATTTACTTGGGTGCCGATCAGTTCTTTAATGAAAAATATGGTATTGGCCACAGAGACAATGGTCTAGGTTCATGTATTTTGTGAATTGAATTGGGTTCTTGCCCTTCAATACTGCTCTCTTTACCCGAGCTAATTATCTTCAGTCTACTGATTGTTTATCTGCAAGTTAGTAGAACATCATCCTCAGAACTCAAGAAATCCTTTGACTCTTGAGTTTTACTTTTAGCTTCCCTTGGAATGGTCAAAATTCACGTGTTATATAGACTTTACGTTATACTACAGCGGCTTCTATATGATGTCAACTCCAGAGGCGAAGGCTTATGAATCTCGTACTTTTTGGAAGGAATGTGAATCTCATATTAATTCATTAATTATTATTATTCAACTACACTATTTATACTTCTTTATGCAGAGGTAATGATCTAATATGGGAGGACTCTTGGAGGACGGGACAGATAGTTGTCCTTATTTAGTCAGTTTGTCAGATTACAGGGTTATAAATAGAGAGGAACTTGGACATATGAGGAGGCTAATGTTTGGACAGAATATTCGATAGAAAAGGCTTGGTTGAAAAGTTATCTATCACTTTACTAAATCTGCTACTAATTTTCTGCTTGATAAATTGGGCTCCTATACCAACAATTTCAAACTTCAAGCTTTGGAACAAGATCGAAGTTTGAGGGGCCATAATAGACCATCCATACATGAGGAAGAAGAATAGCTTATAGCTCTATACAAGATGATGGTGGGGTAATTGTCTAATAAACTCTCTGCACTTGAGTCTACGGTGGAGGATAATTCAGTAATTAGGTGTAGGATTGTCTTTTTTGTTTTATATTCTATTTTTTCTCATCACACCCAAGCACTGCAACTTTATTAAGTGAAGAGAAGGAGGTGGGGGAGTTTGCAGAATTTTGGAAATATTCTGCTTGGGAAAAACTTGGATGTCTCAATTTCTCTAAGGAGTTAATTTCCTAGAGGTTGTAATCTGATCCTAGCATGTTAGAAGTCGTGAGGTACTAACTCTCTCATCTGATATCATCTTCCTGTATTTGAGTACTCATTAAGCGGACGTCAATATGGTGCTGATTGCTCAGGAGCCCATGTTTGGTTTTATGGATGAGAAGCCTTACACATGTTGGCAGTGGTTTTCCTCACCATATCTGAAGTAGAGTAAATCCGGTGATATTGGCCACGAGTAGGATACTAGGGATGTATCCTTTGCTGTTGCTGCTCCTAGGTTTAAACCCTTTCAGCTTGGTGATGCCTTTGACTGGAAGAAGAGGTCCTTTGGGACTCTTTTTTGACAGGATGATCCGTGCTCCTTACAAGATTGATGCTTGATCAGAGTACCTATGCTCATGGGTGGGGTAGATTGGAGAGCAGCTGCATAAGATATTTGGTACTGCTTGGTTAGTGGCCCTTTAATCTTATCACAGGGTCCTTCTAGTTCTCTTCATTGACTTCCACTAATGATGCGTCTTTCTCTGTAGTGTGAAAATTGTGCATTGTACTATCTGATCGTCTTGCACATAATTAATTCGAAATGTGTGATCCATCATCTCCCGTGAACTGGATTGTTTGACTGCTCATGAGGAGTATGTGGGTTGCTGTGATGGGTAGTACACGTTTCTTATCTAGATTCCAAGTTAGAACGTGAATAGGAAACCTTCTTGCTTGCATGTCTTGTGAAATTAGTGTTTATGTTTTTGGCTTCTATCTGTAGCTACTGGCTGAGAATATGCAATGGGGTTGCACATCCTCACTTGATTAAGGATTTGGCATGTACCAATTTTTTGCTGTAATGGCTTGGGAATTAAATATCATTGTGGGTAGCTGTCGTTTTGGGGCTAGAGTGCTTCCACTAGGTTTAATGAGGATTTGTCTTTAATGGAGCCATTGTTTGTTAAGAATTAGGCCAATGGGGAACATCCTGTTCCAATTTCAGCTAAGCATTTTGATGTGTAGCATGACTGTTGCATATCTCAATATGGAGCTAGACAACCAAGTTGCTGGCCTCGATAATCAATTTACTTTGTCATTGATGAACGGTCTACAGTGAGACTATCCTGTATTACCAAAATTACGACCTGTAAAAGTTTCCTCTGTATGAGTTTCAGCTGGGAGTCTAGTGGAACTTGAACAACCCAACCGATAACATAGAAGTTTCCTCAATCTCTCCAGATGTCCGTTCTGAGCTTTCCTGATTTATATGTTTCCCTGCATCGGTTTTTGAGGTTGTGTACATATGATGAAGGATTAAGGACCCGACACCAATTTGAGACTTAGGATCCTACTTTTTGTCTGTTCTTAACATATCTAAAGTTGAGCGCCTGCCTTTTGTTTGTTTATCATGAAGGAAGTTGGTACCCACCTCAATTAGTCATCAATCCATGTTGAAACTTGCTTGTGACAATTTTTCCTGTCTACTCAATAGTTGGCCTAGATGTTCTTAAATCTCCCATGCTCCCAGCCTCATAATTAAGGTAGAACTTTGTCAAGAAAGGCCTTGCTTGCAAACATTTGTAAGGCTTGATATGATCATACAGGCATGTCTATAACTTCTATCTATCAACACCAGCATTTTGTTTTGATTACAGTCACTAATATGTTTGACATTTTTGCTTCACTGATAATGTGTCTGGCCACCCTGTTTATGTGTGAGGAGTTTCTCTTTTCTTCTCTAACTTATTCAATATTTGGTTCTATTATCAAGATAATTAGGAACTTCAATAGCATACGATTGCATGCAGATTTTAACTAATGGAAAGTGCAAGAGTGCGGAGCATAGAGTGACTACAAACTCTAGCAGGGCAAGACTCTCGATCTCTGCTTTTCATGATCCACCGAAGTCAGTGAAAATATCTCCGGCTGCAGAGCTTGTCAGTGAGTCTTCCCCCCTTAGATACCGCGAAGTTATTTTTGGAGATTATACATCATCATGGTACTCAAACGGCCCTCAAGGAAGAAGAAATCTGGATGCAATCAAGCTTCACAACTAGGTATTGTAATTCCTGTCCTCTTGTTGTTTCCTTTCCTGATGGTTTCACTTTTCTTCTGCTTGATTTCTGTTCTCTTTAGTGTGCATTGAAAAAAATTCAGCATCTTTATGAATCAAACTTGAACAATCTGTCTAAGATTCGAATGGAAGTTATGGAGCGATATACTTAACGTCTCTACTAGTCTGAAATGAATTTCTAAGTGCTTAACGTCTCTACTAGTCTGTATAAAGTGTTCTTATGTATTTTTAGAGTTTGGAAAGTCATTCCAAATAGACCCTACATCATGTTATCGTCACTTGGCTCGTCCTTTCTTTGTGGAAGGGAAGAGGAGCGAGAAAGAGATCGAAGTTTTTGAAATTCTTTCGTGACTGTTGACATAACATATTAAAAGACTTCGTTGCCTGTCTATGAAAGACATTCCGACTCAGTTTTAAACAATTTGGGTGCATGTAGCTTGATTTGTGGAGCTCAATATGTTAGCAGGGAATCACATGCCTCATAAAAGTGCAAGATCATCCTCCCTTGTTGACAAGGCAAGTTTTTTCTTTGCAGCTTCTTTAAGTTCTCCTAAACAAGGTTTGAAGATCAGTTGACAATGGAGAGAAGAATAAGATTCTTTGCATCTTCCTCAACTCAAGATTCTTACCAATCCATATCCATATGGTACAATCTCAAATCAAATGAAACATTGATTACGTATGAACTTGTTCGATATCGATGGCTGCATGTAGAAGAATGGTTCTCAACTACTCGAAAAAGAAAGATACACAGCATTTGATGTCGAATGTAGTTCTTGAAAGGTCTGAACTTTGAAGACTCTAGGTCAACTTCATCACCACAGTAGATTGATTACGAAACACATTTTAGTTATATTTCGAAAATGGCATGTTGTTTTGTTTCCTATGCTATGCTTTGGATAATTATTCTACTTTAGTCCTCCTATTTTTCATGAATTTTTTTAAAAAAAAAAAGTCTTCACTTTTCATAAGGTTTTTATGTCACCGATTCCTCTAGAAATTTGATAAATAAATTCGGAAGTTATTATTATTATTATCCATATGAAAATTAACTTTAATTGGTATATTTCAAAGCATAAAAAATAAAAAGAAGAAAAGGCAAGGTGGGGGAATTTTTAAAAAAATTTAAAAAATACATAAAAGCCTTTTTAAATGACTGAAAAATAAATAAATAAATAAATAAACCTTTGTCCTTATTTATTTATTTATTTAATTTTGGGAGCATAATATTTTCCCCTTGCCCATGATGTGACTGTTTGAATCTAATCTTTATCACTTATCTGCCACCAATTTAATTGACAACAACTAGTTAATATCTTTACTAAAAATAAAAAATAAATAAATAGTATCCTCTCATCTTTTATTCCATTATTAAAAAAAATAAAAAGTTTTTCAATATTAATATAATTAATTTAAATTTATAGTCACTCCATAAATATTTTACAAATTTATTTTATTGCGATAAATTATATATCACACGTTGCCACCACTAAGTGTTTGAGCTATTGATTTCACTCCATTACCGTTAATGGTTCAGTCATATTGTTTTAAATTATATAAAAAAAAAATTGAAACAAAATGCATTTTTGAAAAACGTTCTTTATCCACATACACCTTGAGTCGTTTGAATTTCACAAATATGATTATGTGTGTTGAACGTTCATCAATCTATCAATTATTGATATTGTGGTTTCAAAACTAGTGGAACATTCTCTTACGTAATATCAACTTAAGACAAACCTCCTTCAATTTGGCCGGACAAAGATCAAACATGCTATCATTGTCAAAAGATGCTTCTTTCTCAATCCCGATTCAATTCAAATAGCTAAGGATTCATATCAAGATTTGAAATTTAGATTCGACATTCGATAGACTCTGATATTGCTCTGCATCTCCTGCAACATGATCACGGGACAATCAAATGGTGAATTCGTATTCCAAATCCTTATTCGAATTTTGGGCACGAGACATTACATTATACAAATAGTTGGTTGAATATTATTATTTATAAGAGTGTGAATCAAATCTCTAACGTTTAGTTGAGTTATACTCATTGTTCAAGTAACGTTTAAAATTATATAAAAAAATTATGTCGAATTAATATTTTATTTTATTTTATATGGTCCATACAAATAAAAGGTGAATTAATAATATCGATATTAATATATTATATTTTATGTGGCTTTTAGCTTTTTTTTGAAGGTGAGATATTATTGTTTTCGGTCAATTTCAAAAATTTAATCATGCAATAAATGAAAAAATGTCGGTAGCCAAAGGGCAACAAACAGTGGGCCCATGGGCCCATAGGCCCATTAAGGGTTTTGTGGATCGCCATTTCACACTCGGCCCCACTTCTCAAAATTTTCGTATTTTATTTTATTAATTTTTTTTGGTAAAAGGAATTTTCAAAATATCCTATAATTTTTTTTTCTTCATTTTGGAGAAAATAATATCTTATAGGCCGAATTTGAACCATTGATCTTTAGAAACTAATACATTGACGGCTCGGATTACATAATTTATTAATTTAAAAAAGTTAATTTTTTGCGTCAAAATCAAAGTTATTTTTGCTAAATTTTCTATTTTGTTAAAAAATATCTATAAACGATCAAAAATTTGAATAATACTCTAACTTTGAAATAAAAATTTAAAAATTACGATTAATTTTGGATGAAATAATTAGCACATAATTTCAAAAATACCCGTTACGAATAGTATTCACTAAATAAATGAATAACAAAGAAAATGAAAAAAAAATTGTGAGTAGTAATGTTTTTATTTACCAATAAAAACGGTTGCATTTGGCCACATAATTTCCCATATATATTCACAATCATATATTTATAGCATTTTCCATTTTTTTTATTACCGTGAATTTGGATATTAAAATTACTTAAAATAGGAAGTATTGTTTTCTTTTCTTCATCAAATTTAGATAATAAATTTATTTTTATTACTAATAATAATAATAATAATAATAATAAACCTTGAATAATTTATTAAGAAGAATAAGGTTAAGAGTTTTTACTTATATTGTATATTGTTTTTTTTATTATTAATTAACCATTAGATGTATTAAATATATATTAAAAATAGTCTTTAATTTTAATTAATTGAGAATGCGTGCATCTCTCAACCACATTCATTGATTTTTTGTTGGATATTTCTTTACACGTGTGAACCATTTCTAAATTTTATGTATTTTATTAATGAATGTGTTTAGGATTTAGGGTTTAAATTTGATAAATATAAACCTCTAATTTTAATTTATATTTAATAGGTGGGTTGAATACAAAAAATAATATTTAATAGATTTGTGTTAAAAAATGTTAAAAATTATTTGATTTAATATATAAATTTTAAATGTATGCCTAACAAAATTCTAAATTTTAAACCCAATTTTTTAATTTAAAGACTAAGTTGTATAGATATAAAATTGAGAATTTAAAACGACATTTAATTTTTTTTAAAAAAATGTTAGCATGTAACTAAAATTATTATTTTTAAAAAGGATATAAGTCCATGGCTAATGGGTTGCCTTCTGTTTGAATTGGGTATGAATATTAAATATCTAATATTTAAAGGTTGATAGAATATGATTTTGTTTTTGAATTTTAAATAATCAAAATAAAATAAAAAAATAGAAAAAGTGTTCAAATTCTGAGTTTTTTTATTTTTTATTTATTTATTTTGTAATCTCAAATTTTATTTGATTTGATGAGGGTAGATATTAAATATTTAAGAGCTCAAATGTCTAAAATACTATATATATCTGCATTATAATTAATATTTAAAAATGAAGCATTAAATTTATTATAAACTTTCATGAATTTTTTATTTTTTAAGTACTTAAATTAAATATAAACGATTAAAATAATAATATATTTTTTTTATATATAAAGTATTTAAGATAATATAAAATATTAATATAAATGTATTGGTCAAAATTTATGAAATCTAAATAATTTATTGACATTAATAAGTAATTATTTAGAATTAATTTCATCACTGCTCATATTTCACGTGCAAAAAATGCACCTACAGGATCGTATTTAAAAATCCATGTTGAATTTAGCTTTCAATTTTGTGCACGAATTAAAAAAGTTTAGAAACAAATTTTAAAAAGTTGAAAAAAATAGTGAAATTAAATTTATAATTTAAGAATTAAAAAAAAAACATTAAAAAGTTCAAACCGTTTTATAATTTTAAAGAAAAAAGAAAAAAAAACCAAAAACAAAATTTAGTTCCTATTTTACCCTTCCCACCCTTTAAATCCCGGTCACCTTTCAATCATCTTCTGGGACCATCCTTTATTAAGGCGTCTGACAAAGCAGCACCTTCTACAGGGACACCATCTTCACTCCTTTCCGAATCATTGTTCCCAACAATGGACGCCATTTCTTCCCCTTTCCTCTCCGGCGGAAACCTCCTCCTCTCTCCGTCGATCTCCAAGTCCAGGACCGCCGTTTCGACCGCCATATGCTCTGTACTCGCCGAAGAAACCCCAAGAACCGTTAAAAAACCCGCCTCCCGACCAGATGCTGATTTTCCATCGCCGTCTTTGTCCCAGCGAGCTACTCCCCCTCCGGCAGTGGCGAAGGGCTCTTCCACCAGACGTGTCGAGCCATCTGTACCGGCGAGCATCTTCAATGCCTTTGATGACTTGATCAACAACTTCATAAACCCGCCGGCGAATCCGTCGACGGATCCACGATACGTCCTTGCTGACAACTTTGCTCCCGTCGATGAGCTTCCTCCGACGGATTGTGAAGTCATTCAAGGTTCGTTGCCTTCATCTCTCAATGGTGCGTATATTCGTAACGGCCCGAACCCTCAATACCTTCCCCGTGGGCCCTACCACTTGTTCGACGGAGATGGCATGCTTCACTCTCTTCGAATCTCCAACGGCCGTGCCGTTCTGTGCAGCCGTTATGTGAAAACGTACAAGTACACTTTGGAGCGTGACGCTGGACATCCTGTTATCCCCAACGTATTCTCCGGCTTCAATGGCCTCATCGCCTCTGCCGCACGCGGCGCCGTTACCGCCGGTCGGATGTTTACCGGCCAATTTAATCCGACAAATGGGATTGGTCTTGCAAACACTAGTTTGGCCTTCTTCGGTGATCGTCTTTACGCCCTAGGTGAGTCCGATTTACCGTATCCAATTCGATTGACTCCAAACGGCGACATTGAAACTCTCGGCCGCCATGATTTTGACGGAAAGCTTTCCATGAGTATGACTGCTCATCCAAAAATCGATTACGATACGGGTGAGGCATTTGCGTTTCGGTATGGTCCTCTGCCTCCGTTCTTAACCTTCTTTCGATTCGACAAGAACGGAGCCAAACAGCCGGATGTGCCGATATTTTCGATGAATCGACCTTCGTTCCTGCACGATTTTGCAATTACTAAAAAGTACGCTGTATTTACAGAGATTCAGATCGGATTTAACCCTATGCAAATGATAGTAGAAGGACGCTCTCCAGTTGGAGCAGATCCTTCAAAAATTTCAAGAATAGGACTAATTCCACGATACGCTAACGACGAATCGAAGATGAAGTGGTTTGATGTACCTGGAGTTAACCTGGTTCACGCCATTAACGCTTGGGATGAAGACGACGCTGTGATTCTGGTGGCGCCGAACGTTCTTTCCGTCGAACACACGATGGAGAGGATGGATCTGGTTCACGCCTTAGTGGAGAAAATCAGAATCGACCTAAAAACAGGGATAATAACGCGGCGGCCATTGTCGACCAGAAACCTAGACTTCGGAGTGATAAATCCGCTATACGTTGGGAAGAAGAATAGGTTCGTTTACGCCGGCGTTGGAGATCCGATGCCGAAGATTTCGGGAGTTGTGAAGCTCGACGTGTCTCAGGAAGAACGCCGAGACTGTATCGTCGCGACTAGGCTTTTCGGACCTAATTGCTACGGCGGAGAGCCGTTTTTCGTGCCGAGGGAAAGGGAAAATTCCGACGAAATGGCGGCGGAGGAGGACGACGGATATGTCGTCTCGTACGTCCACGATGAAAACTCGGGCGACTCAAGGTTCGTAGTCATGGACGCAAAGTCCCCGGAACTCGAGATTATCGCCACCGTGAAGCTGCCGCGGCGTGTCCCTTACGGCTTTCACGGCTTGTTTGTGAAAGAAAGTGACCTCTCTAAGCTATAAAACGGAAGGTATCTAAATAGATAAACACACGAAATTTTAGGCCGAACCGGACTTTCGAACCAGACCGCTCGAGCCGGTTCTCTCTTGTTTTATACATATAAAAAAAATAAAATAAAAAAGGGTACTAATAAATCATATGCTCGACCCATGTAGATTTTATGTATTATATATTTTTGGACGAAGTTCCAAGAAAAATAATATATATGTAAACACATTATAATATAACATAGTTTAGTTATATTTAAATATTTTACTAAAATCATAAAATCCTTTTTAAGTCTCGAAATACATTAAATAATCTCATAATTAATGATATGTTGGTGACATAATTAATATATAAAATCATTCCTTGAACAAAAATTAATATATAATGTTCATCTCCATTCTACGAATTATGTTTTGATTCATTAATCTCATTTCATGTTAGTTTATTGAGCAGAGTCCATAAATAAAATAATTAGAAACGTTCATTTAATCCGCAGAAGAGGAGAGAGGGAGAGACGTGACCAATCCTCGCCCTGCCTCAACTTGATATATATATATCCTCTGGAAAAATGTCCACCCATAACCCAACAGATGAAATACATTACATAGTCACATATCCATTCAGTGACTTTGGCACTAGACATTCTAAAAAGGGTATTATCAGGTCGGGAACCCAACATATGAAATACATTACATAGTCACATATCCATTCAGTGACTTTGGCACTAGACATTCTAAAAAGGGTATTATCAGGTCGGGTAAATTCAATAATAGACGCCTGCTGACATTCGAGCCTTCTCCTTTCAAGGTCCACCCGAAAGAGAATTTAGTATTTTTTAGTCGTGAATATCTTAATATCACTCGCTGAATCCTTTCCCCTTTCCCTTTCCAATGTGCAGGGTTCAAAAAAGAGAGGGCCAATATATGCATATATCTACTTCTCGTGTAAAATTGAACCCTTCAGATACACAAAGAATTCCTAAATTGAATTCATGAACGAACTCTACGCAACCTTCCATATATTTTCTATTCAAGAGTCAGAAACTAATTGGGGGAGGGGGCAAATTAGTCAACCTACCAAAATTTCTGAAGTCTGCTAGATCTTCTAAACCTTTCACCATGTGTGTGTTTCATCAGCCAATGAGGAAGAAAGGTCCTCTTGAGGTTGCCATTTGCTTGATCTTCTAAACCTTCAACATGCTGTGTGTTTCATCAAGTCCTCTTGATGCTGCCATCTTCTACAGTTTGAGGTCTGCTTCTTCTAAACCTTCCCCGTGTGTGTTTCAGCCAACGTTGAAGAGAGATCCTCTCGAGATTGCGATCGTCTACTTTGAAGGCGCATCTGACTCCGGTGTGGAGTCCAGAAGGAACCGACGCTGTTGTTGTCAAACTGCATTTGGCCAAGGCTATTTGAAGAGTAACTATGCGAAACCCCACTACTTGTTGATCGGTGCAACGACGACTCCATAAGTTGAATGCCACTGCTGCTGCCAAAGCCATGTCCTAAGCCAAAGGTTCTTTCTTCAGAACCTTTAGCTGTTGGGCTTAGTGGCATCTTGACTCTGCCATCACCTGTTGCACCATGGTTCACATTGCATTCATAGTGCATACCAGAAAAAAGGCTATAAAGAAGCCATCTAACAGAAAAAGCAACCATGATAACAAGACTAAAAGTGACATGGTATCATTAAAGAGGGCATCAAATGTGCATCTTCTGCTTTTAGCACAGAACTAACATTTCAAAATGAAGCAGACAGTGCAGACAGTGCATTCAAAAGGGCGAAGCCCCATAAAAATGTAGATAATGAAACGGCCCAAGTCCACTACTAGCAAATATTGTCCTCTTTGGACTTTCCCTTTTAGGCTTCTCCTCAAAGTTTTTAAAATGCGTCTGCTAGGGAGAGGTGTTTCCACACCCTTATAAAGGGTGTTTCGTTCTCCTCTCCAACCGATGTGGGATCTCGCAATCCACACCCCTTGGGGCCAGCGTCCTCGCTGGGTGAGATTCCACATTAGATGGAAAGGAAAACGAAACGCCCTTTATAAGGGTGTGGAAACCTCTTTCTAATAAACACGTTTTAAAAACTTTGGAGGGGAGCCTGAAAGGGAAAACCTAAAGACTATCTCCTAACGGTGGGCTTAGGCCGTTACAGATAATATATGTTAATCCAAAGAAAACTTTACCATTTAGGAACACAAAGTGCTAACAGAAAATCACAATCACGTTAACAAAGCATAAGCAGCGTATTGATCTCATAACATAGAACTGTCACCATATGCATTCAGGCCAAAAATATAGTAAACTTCCACATCCCATCTGATCAAAGATTGACTTAACACATTCACGTTGCACATGCGACTAGGATATTTCATGACAGAGAAGCTCAACAAGAAGATTAATAAATGTAAATATCAGCACAGTCTGTTGCAATGAGAGAACACGAGATATTACGTGTAGAAACTTACCAGCATTCATTGGACTCCACCGCTGTAACCGAAAAGGAGAAGGGATGTTTAAAACAGACGTGGTGGAGACAGCATTATGCCTGAAAATTGGGAGGTATGGCCTGCGGAAAAATCTAGGTATTGCACTTCCTACACAGGATAATGCAAGCAGGAAAAACAATGATGTGAACACAATGACTATAAGGACTAGAGGATCTATCTTCAGTTTAAAAATTTCATAACCACGGAGCTCTAGCCTGGTTGTTGTAATTGTAAATGCCTTCCCAGCCTCCAGCAGCGAGACCCCAAGTGTCCAAGTCGTACTCCCAGAACCGATAACAATTTGTTTATCGGTAATATGCAACCCTTCTCTAAGGAGTGAGACTATGTACGGCGCTCTAAAGCAGTATTGCTCAATAAAGGGCTGTGGAGCAACACTAGCCAGAGCAACTTCCCAAGGTTTCTCACAAAATTTTTGACCCCTTTCTAATACATCATCAAGTGTAACCTCTGAAGTCAGATTGAAAAATCGAAATACCACAAAGAAACCGGAAATGGCATAAAAATTTCCATATGGGGAAGGGTAGTCATTAGTTATAGCACAAGGTTGCACATCACAATCAACTCCAGCACTTGTATTTGACCACTCGGAAAAATTCACTGCAACTTTAGCAAGTGCAGAACATTCTTCCCAATTCGGTGCACCGATCAGTCTTAGAGAAATCCCAGAATTTCCTTCTCTTCCCAATAATTTTCCACACTGGTTACAGGTATACTGCTTGTTGTACCCAGAATGCAGGCAAGGGTGGTTAAGTTTAAATTTTCCATTAGACAAGTCCAGTTTCTCACGTTCTTCGATCCTTCTTAGTAGGTGGACGACAGATTTCCCAAATGCATCATTTAAACCATAGCCAGTAAGAGAATAGGCATTAAGATGATAATCCACATTTCCAATTTTAATGTTCAAACTAGACTCGTTTTGCTCCTTGCTTTCAAAAGTAACTTGCAAAGAAGAACCACCCAAGTCGAGTGCCCCGTACGTTGGTTCCCTTGGTGTAGCCCCCAACACTTGTTTCTGATAGTTAAGGGCTATCCACCCATAGTAAGCCTCTTCTGTACCTGAAATGGTCTTAACCCACTCTCTCTGGCAAAGAAAACGCGAACTCTTTAATATAGACCAGGCATTGTCCAGAAGCCATTTCGACTCTGCGGGGGGTAGTCTTCTAACTCCAGCAGTCGCATAAAGGAAAAGAGAGGTGCTTTCATGGGCACGCTTCGGTATCTGCTTCTCAGCCCACTGAAGCAGAGGTTTAATAGCTTTCCTCAAACCCGTTACATTACGAACCAACTTATCAAGACCAGGTTCTGTTTCCATTCGATCATAAGCCCGTCCGCTCTGAGACTTCAATTTTTTCTTTTGTCCTGTATATGATCTAATGGCAATGGGAAGCGCTCCATTTTTCTTATAATTAACACTTGCTTGATATACATAAGCTCGAGTGCCAGTACTTCCAGAGTCAAGCACCACATAGTATCTAGGCGTTCCTTGAGACCAATATGAATAAATATACATAGAAACCGTATAGATTAGAACAAAAAAGAGCAATAGACACAGAAAAAGAACAATTGTCCGAACCCACTTCTTGCTCAACCACCAGAAGAAGCCTCCAGGCAATGTCTTCTCTTTTGAGAAACTAGAGGCGGCATTCTCTCGCTGGAGTGATCTGAAATCAGGAGCAGCATTCTCAAGTCCATGATTACCCTCTTCGAGATCAAGTCGACGGTAAGTAGAGAGATCCTGGAGCGACGATGAAAGCCTTAGATTGTTCTTAAGCGCAGGACTAGCAAATCCGGCAAGAATAGGAGAAGAAGAAGCGATCAAGGGAGGCGAAGATCCAGGCGACGAAGACGACTTATACGCATCTACAGAAGACTGGCGACCCGACAAACGAGTGGTTGCAGACGAGATGATATCCCTAAATCTCCCAAACACCATTTTTCTCTGATTCAACACAAAGACTTCAAAAATTCCTCAGACGCTCACCAAAATCCATCATCATAACAACTGAATTTCGTAATTCTAGATCACAGTGATCCCCAAACTCGCGATTTCTCCCAAAACCACAGTAGAGAGAGAGAGAGAGAATGAGAGAATGAGGGATTTTCAAATTGAAGTCCGTTTGCAGATTAACAAGAGAGATGGATTAACATACATGGAAAGAAATAAATGATCGGAAAGAAGAGCAGTGGACAATATCAATGGCGGAATGAGAATTCAATGGTGAAATACGATAAAATTAGGATTAAGACGGACCTGAAAGAGGCGATTAGCAATAAAATTACATAAGAAATAGAGAAATCAGAGTTTCTCCTTCCACTTCGCCGCTTTCTGGTCTCAATCGCATCAGATGATCCGATTCAGATCCAACTTCACCGACAAGCTACTCCTCTAGCAAGTCCAACCGAACCAAAGCCCTCTTTCCCTTTCTCTCTTAGAAAAATTCAATTTTTTCCTCTTAAAACTCTTTCCGTTGCCAATTTTTATTCTCGATGAAACTAAAATTCAATATATATTATATACGAAATTTATATGAATTTATTATTTTAAATTCGAATTTTAAATCTCTCTAGGATTAATTATTTAAATTCCTTTGGAATAAAAAATATTGATTTTATTTTTAATTTATTGAGTTCAAATAATATACACAAAACCTAGTGAAAAAGTTCATAAAAAAAAAAAAAAAAACCATATATGTGGATTAATGGCAGTAATTGTAATAATTGTCATGGCATTTTAGTCTTTTCACATTAGGTTTGAGCCTGATGCAATTTGTTTTGGGTTGCCACGTTTGCTATTATTTGGGCCACTTTGCAACCTTAGTCAGTAGCCCATATTTTTTGTTCCACATTTCACTTTATGCTAAATTACCATATATATATATATATATATATATGTGTGTGTGGCGAGGGTTTCGAGATGAGTGTCTGGAACGACTTTCTTTGAAATGAGTTTTTCAAAGGTAGTACCAGGCTACGCGTGTGTCAGTATTATCTCAACTTGTGTGTTAGAGATTGAATTATACACCTACTATTTGGTACGGTATCCATAAATAACATGGTATGTGCACAGGAGGGTCAATGTCTCGATAGAACCTGGATAGATGGATGTTCGGGATGCCCCAACGAGATAAGCTAACACATGGGTTCGTTGAATTAATGGTAGTAATTGTAATAATTGTCTTTGGCATTTTAGTCTTTTCACATTAGGTTTGAGCCTGATGCAATTTGTTTTGGGTTGCCACGTTTGTTATTATTTGGGCCACTTTGCAACCTTAGTCAGTAGCCCAGATTTTTAGCTCCACATTTCATTTTATGCTAAATTACAATAAATATATATGGCGACCGTTTCGAGATGAGTGTGTCGGACGACTTTCATTTGAAATGGGTTTTTCAAAAAAAATACTGGACGACACGAGTATGCCATTATTGCACCCCAACTTGTATGTTTGAGATTGAATTATACACCTGCTATCCAATATAATATCCGTAAATGACATAGACATAAGAGGGTCAATGCTTTGATAGAACTCGGATGAATGAATGTTCGGGATGTCCCAACGAGATAAGCGACACGTGGGTCCGTTGAATTAATGGTAGTAATTGTAATAATTGTCTTGGCATTTTAGTCTTTTCACCTTAGGTTTGAGCCTGATGCAATTTGTTTTGGGTTGCCACGTTTGTTATTATTTGGGCCACTTTGCAACCCTAGTCAGTAGCACATATTTTTAGTTCCACATTTCATTTTGTGCTAAATTACAAGAGTGTGGGTTTTAACGTACAGTACCGAGTGACGTGGGTGTGCCGATATTGCACCTCGACATACGTGTTGGAGGTTGAATTATACACTTGTTATTTGGTACGGTATCCATAAATGACACGGGCACATGAAAGTTAATGTCTCAATAGAACCCAGATGAATAAATGTTCAAGATGTCCCAACTAGATGAGCGACACATGGGCCCATTCTTGATGGCATGATCAAGTGAGTACGATGGCCGACAACACCCCAAAACTTGGAATGACGTCAAGACATATGAACCATTTCGATTGAAAACCAAGATGACAAGATGAGATGCAACGTTGCATTAAGAGACCTTAGCTCTGAGTAGAGGCAAGATCGAGCTGGATGACCTAGCCTAGTATAAAGGCAAGTCTGTTGTATTGCAGACAATTAAACATGCACGTGCAGGCAGCTTGTGCGGTCGAACATATATATAGTTTTGATCAAATTAGCTATACTCGAGTTGATAGTCTCGGGTGGATAGAAGATGATGAAAACTCTTCCAACTTTGCCCTTATTGGCTACCAATGATGATACAAGAGAGTCGTAGAGAGAGAAAGAGAAACCAAGAACAAATTACAAAACATACAAAGCCATACCCCAAAAAAACAAAAACTCTCATTAATTCTTCATCTCAATCTCACCCTATGAAGAGCCAAGAAAGCAACCAGCCGATACCCAACCAGCATGAGCGCCATAATACAAACATCAACCCAAAGCCGGTCCAACCCGACCGACTTAACCGCCGGAAAATCCGCCACCCGACAAAACTCCCCTTTCCCACACTCATAAACGTCGTCGTTTTTGTACTGCACACCCAACAGAAGCTTGTAGCAATAGAAGCTATAGCTGAGATACTTAAGCCACACAATGAACGGAGGAATTTGTTGAATGTAGTAGCCGCCAGCGATGAGGAAGACGAGCGTTGTGACGGAAGCGAGCGTCGTGGCTTGCTTGACATCCATGAGAATGGCACCGAATGCCAAGCCGAGGCTCTGCGAGACGAGGACGCTATAGAGGACGACGAGGAGGGAGAGGAGGAAGGTGGGAGGGTGAGGGTTGAGGCCACCCATGAAGTAGATTATGAAAACGAAGGCGGTCGGGAGAGCGAGTTCTAAAGGAAGGTCACCGATGGTTCGGGCGAGGAAGTAGGAGGAGAGACGGTACATGCCGGAGGATCGCTCTTTGATTAGCATGGTGCGTTCTTGTGGGAAGGTGAATACGGCGTTGTAGAGCGGGTAGAAGCCCCAGAAGACGGAGAAGAAGAACAACAACGCTATCTAAAACATCAAACACAGAACATCAGACATTCTTGTCTTGTCTCGTGGACATCCTAAAAAGAAAATAAAGTAAAAGAAAGTGATTCTTACACGATCTTCGATGTGGGATGTCGGAGTGTGCCACCAAAGGAGTCCACCAAGAATGGCTACACTTATGACTTGAAAGATCCTTAGCTTGTTGAAGGCGTCATACCTTCTCTCCTTTAGCCCTCTTTGCAATAGCACTCTGAATTGATACCACCAGCTCGTGCACCACTCTTCTCTTGATCTCCTCTCTCTCTCTACACCCACATTATGATCATCATCATCATTGGAATCTTATTCCCTCAAATCATTTTCCTTGAAACCTTTTTTTTTCGTGGGTGTATCAAATTCATTATCCAACTATCTGTTCTGATATAAAAGATGAAATCTTTTTCGTTCTATCAACTTTTAGAGTCGGTTTGAAATGACTTTTTCAAATTTGAGATCTCACGTCGGTTGGAGAAAGGAACGAAACATTTCTCGTAATGACGTGAAAACCTCTTCCTACTAGACACGTTTTAAAAACTTGAGAGGAAATCCATAAGGGAAAGTTCAAAGAGGACATTATCTGCTAACAGTGGGCTTAGACCGTTACACAAATACTTAAAATACGAGTTTTGAAAACCAAGCAAGAAAGCTTAAACGATTGGTAAAAGGGTGATGAGAAAGCGAGTGAGCTTACTTGAGGCATCTTTTGCATAGTTAGTGAAGTTATTAGCATCCAAACTACAAAGCTCATCCTTCAATGTGGAGGAAATGTTCTTATCATAAGCTGAAATTAGGGCTTCTTTCACACCCTTTTGTTCTTGCTCCATGTTCTCTCCTCCGTCGTTTGCATATTTCGAATCAGGACCGATTCCTGTTATTAACCATTCAGTAGATAAAACATCAACTACCATTTTAAAGATCAAAATTTGATTTTTGGGTTGAACCCGAAAAATAATAATAATAATAATAACATGGGGCCAATTTAAAAAATGAGGGGAAAAAAAGTTTAAAGCATCAAAATGTGTAGTAGTAGGCCAAGTGATTATAAATGGTCTACACATGATTCAATTTTATAAAGGAGAAAAAAAAAAGGACAAAGAAATTCATGTTTTTTTTTTTTTCCTTTATGAGAAAAATACCCAAATTAAGGGGAAAAAAATAATTTAAATACCATTTGCAAGATCGAGAAGGAGATCAGCTGGATTGATGGTAATGGAGGTAGAGAATCCAATGGAGGAGAAATAATCCATGGCGGTTGAAGCTGCGCCGTAATAAATTGGGCTGCCTTCCGACAGCAAAACAACCTTATCAAACATGTGGTAAAGGCGGCTGGACGGCTGATGAATTGTCGTGACAACTGTCCGACCACCGGCGGCGAGGCGTTTAACGGTGGTGATAATTCTCATGGCGGTTGTGGAGTCCAAACCGGAGGTGGGTTCGTCGAGCAAAAGCAAGCTAGGGTTAATCAGCATCTCTTGACCGATACTGACTCTTTTTTTCTCTCCGCCGGAGATTCCCCGGAAAAGTGGGCCGCCGATCATGCTGTTGCGGCAGCGAGTGAGACCCAACTCGGAGATGACTCGCTCAACGGCTTGGGCTTTTTCGTCGGCAGTAAGGGAGGAAGGAAGGCGGAGGAGGGCGGTGAAGAGGAGGGTTTCGGCGACGGTTAAATGAGGGTATAAAACGTCGTCTTGGGCGACGAAGCCGGTCCGGCGCTTGGTAGCGCCGGAAAATGGGTGGCCATTGTAAGTGATTTTGCCGGAGAGTTTGCCGGAGAGACGGCCGCCAAGTGCAGTCAAAAGGGTGGTCTTTCCGCTGCCGGAAGGGCCAAGCATGGCGAGTATTTCGCCGGGGAAAACAACTCCACTTATTCCGTTTAGAATGGTTTTTTCTCTAGTGCCGCCCCATGAACCACCACCGCCGCAGCATCCGCCGCCTCCGCCGCCGCCTTTCCCTTCTAATTTCACTTTGTAAACAACTTCTTCAAACTGTAAAAATCCAAATTTCCCAAATGGGTTCTCTTATAAATCAAAAAAAACAATAAATTGAACAAAAATAAATGCAAAATTTGAAGAGAGAGAGAGAGAGAGAGAGAGAGAGAGAGAGAGAGAGAGAAAGAGAGGAGAGAGAAAGAAAGGGACCTTGAGAGTAACAGTGAGGAGGGGAAGCTGGTGGAGATTATTATTATTATTGAGGTTATTGTGAGGGTAGGCAAGAACGGCGTCGTTCTGAGGGTCAGCCATATCCATGAGAGAGAGAGAACAAAAGAGTTAATATGGCTGAAGAAAGTGGGAGAGATGAAGGAAATATATAGGGAGGGAAAGAGAGAGAAGTGAGCTTTCTTTTCTCTCTCTCTCCTCCTCATGGGATTCCACCATCTTTGCTTTTCCCTTCTCTTTTCTCTTAGTTTA